CCGAAAACACACACATACAGGCGACCTCTCGACAATATGCGATTTTGCTCGCTGTAGCAGCGGTATAGCGTTGAACAGCAAAAACGCACAGGAAGGGTTAAAAATCACAACAAATGTGTGAATGTCAATGCAGCTTGTGATGATGAAAGATGTCACATTTCACTGTTTCTAATAGGGCGCACTGTTTTACCTGAAGGAAAAGTTTTGTAAATTCCGGATATCATATAAATATCAAAGAAAACCGCACACTGCGCTTGAAGTTACCAGTATTCTTACTTATCTGTACTTTATCCATCAGCCTGCTGCCAGCTCCGAACCACGACGATGAGCTGCCCTGATTTTAAATGTAACAGAATCAAGGAATATGACTCCAAAATTCCAATCCCCAAGCTTACGTAATTTCAAAATTATTTTATTTGGAAGGGATGTCAGACTTCCAAAGCTGTATTATCCGGAAATGAAAGATACCAAATTTTTTTCGTTTTAATAAGGCACGGAATTTTATCTGAAAAGATTGGTCTGCAAATCCTGGATAATGTGTGAATACCGGAAAAACCCAGGCTGCAGCGCTTTCAAAATTGTCGGTGTTTTGCGCTAAACTTGAATCTGTTAGATTACAAACTATATCAATCGATTTTGCTGTACATCTAATTTGTTCATTCCTTATCGTAAGTCACTATAAATTTTGTGTAAGGGAAAATGACAAATTTCCTTTAACTGGCTGTTCCTTAAAAAAATGACTAGGCTTTCTTAATTTCCGAATTAGCAACTATTCTGCCAAAAATTTCACGTGTTCATACGTAAGAGTCGTGTGTATCTAGGAAATGAATTTGAAATCTTTAGATGGCAAATGGACAGAGAACACCTTTCCATAACTTCGGATTCCTAATATGCTCGGTTCCAGAGTCAGCAGTTTTTCTGCCAAAACCTTCCTTTATCCACACGTAAGAGCCACTCGTACTAGGAGTTGAATTTGAAATCTTTAAGTTGTATGTGGACAAGGGAAAACCCCTTAAAAGTTTTAGCTTTCCAGTTTCTGGCCTTCGAGTTAACAGTTTTTTTTGCCGAAAATTTTACTTGCCGACGCATTAGGCTTAGACATAAACCAAGGCCGATACCACTTTTATAGCTAGAAAATTCACTAGCAAAATCTCAGCTTTAAAGCTTGTTTGGTTTCCGAATTGAAATATCCGGGCATATCACAAATACATGCACACTACGGATCGTCACAATGTGCGTTTTTGCATTTGCATATATGCAAAAACGCGTAATATTTTTAATTTTGGGGAGAAACAACTTCAAGAACAAGTGAACGTGGTGATTTAGATCACTGCAGTGATATTCCCTGTCTCTGGGTAAGCTAATGATTTCAAATCTAGCTATCACGCATGCTTGCATCACATAATTACCTAAATAAAAGTTCATAATCGGCGCCATGTCAGCTCGAAAACTAGCCGGAAACAAATTTTTACTAGTTTGTTGTTGCAGGACAAAATTTGAAAAGGTAATCTTCGTGTTAAGCAGTGATAATGAGCATTGGGTTCATGCCAATGTCCATGTCGTCCGCAAAGGTTGGTCTTTAAGAATTACTATTTAGCAGCGAAAAATTAAAATACTCCGTGGAAATAGTCCGGGCTAGTTGTAGAAAAAGTTTCAAAATCAGATTCAGTCAGCTATCGTCCTTTGACGTGCCTAGAACCCACTCGTCGTGGGAAAAACTGCGCCAAATGCAACAAGAGATTAGGTCACAGCAAAAGACGTAGGTAGGATTCTCGAGACGCTCGCTGCATTTTGGGAAGAACGGTACATTGAGTGGAAAGCCCACCACACTTTCGATAGTTAATTGGTACTGTCATACGCCAGTGAGTCAAATCACCAGCTTCCTTGTAAGCAGCCCTCAAAAGAGGAAATCATCGTTGGCCTTGTTAGCGAGTTTTTAGCATTTGCTACTACTCGGGCTGCATTCGAAGTGTCTCTGCATTTCAATGACAGCTTTTTTTAATTTTGTGACAATAGTGTAGCTTCTTGTCTTCACATTTGGGATTTAAATAAAAATTTTTCAAATGCGGGGAAAAAAATTGGTGAATAAGAAAAGTTTGCTATCCCAGTAATTCTTAAATTTTAATTAAACACCAAAAACATTTCTCTGGGAAAAGAAAATTACGTCTTCTCACTGCCAATTGTTCTCTTAACGCAGCATCGGTATTACCAGATTTTCTGCGAGCTCATCATAAATTTTTAACAATTTTTTCCCCGCATTTGAAAAATAATAGTTAATTTTCTTTCAAAACAATAAGACTGTTCCGAGCATAATAATTGATGTGGTTTAGAAAAAATTCAGATAGCGATCGTTCCAGGAGAGCTGTATGTGGTGTCATCTGGATACAGGGAAGTGGACATGGCAACGCTGAGCCGCTGTAATCATACGATCATGAGTACAGGTACATACTCCTGGTGGACTGCATATCTGGCCAATGGTAGCACAATCTACTACAGTAATTGGCCGAAACCTGGTACAGTGCTAGACGAAATGGTTCAAAAAAGCGACTATTTCCTCGACAGCTGGATCTCTATGCTGTGATCTTATGTGGGTAGTTTTAGTAGCCTGTTCTGAATCAATGTCATTTTGGAAGAAAAGCGAACCCGGCGGAACCGAAGGGCGATGAACAGTACGTATTATCCCGCACTGTAAAATTCTGCGTCGATGCCAGCGGCAGCGCGTGACAGGTAGGACAAAACATAGTGTAACTCCTCTGAAAAATGTGTTTTTGATTGAACTTGATACATTTAATAATTTAGTTTTTCTCAGCCGAAAAAACATTGTT